TTCGACTGATAAGAGTTCTTATTAGCCCATACTTAAGTTTAAGTTATCCTGTAACTGGGCCTGTGTTAATGGGCCTAAGCCTGTTTAATGTTTTAAGTTAAYTGRGTGTCYCATCACTRATCAKGGGCATTCCAGTAATTACTTGTATCATTGTACTACATTCAAATATAAATAATAACATGGTCGACTGGGCAGTTGAGTTCGACATTCACAGCATACCAGTGGTGTTCTTCTCCTCTCCTCTACTTCGAGTACAACTCTCAAGCTCACAATCAACACACCCAGCCCAATCAACATTTGTGTAAACTTCTATTTTCATGTGATCATTATCCTTGAATAGAACACCTCTGCGTGGACACCTCTTCAGATATGCCAATATCCTCTCAACTACAAGTAGGTGAGTAGTTCTAGGAGAGTGCATATACAGACTAACAACACTGACTACATAACTGATGTCCAGTTGAGTGAGACAAAGATAGAGGAGTTTTTTAACTAACCATTGGAACATAGCTTTATCTTCAAGGAGCTCTCCACCCTCTGCATTGATCTTGTGATTTTTTTCAATAGGTGTGTCAGCAGGCTTAACGCCCAACTTTTTAGTTTCTTCCAACAAATCAAGAACATTCTTTGAGAAACAAAAATCCCATGCTTGGACCTAGCTACCTCAATAAAAAAGAAGTATCATAGCTCTCCCAAATCTTTTACCTCAAACTCTTGATGAAGGAGTTGCTTAAGAGACTCAATCTCACTGTTATCACTCCCTGTCACTACAATATCGTCCACATATACAACAAGCAAGGTTAAGGAAGAATCCACTTTCTTAATAAATAAAGTGTGATCTGACTGGGCCTGCACATAACCGAACTTTTCAAGGGCTTGTCTGAATCTATCAAACCAAGCTCTGGGGGACTGTTTTAGTCCATACAAGGCTTTGTTCATCCGACATACCTTCTTTCCGGTTTCTGCACCATAAAATCTAGGAGGTAACTGCATGTAAGCTTCTTCCTGCAAGTCTCCGTTGAAGAATGCATTTTTAACATCCATCTGAAACAAAGGCCAAGAGTAACTGGCTACAAGAGATAATAAAACTCTGATAGTGGTCATCTTTGCTACTGGTGCAAAAGTCTCCAAGTAGTCGATACCATATGTTTGAGTAAATCCCTTTGCAACTAATTGGGCCTTATACCTTTCAGAGATAATAAAATTCTGATACTAAGTAGTCGAATAGGATTACAATCTGTCCTAGGTTTAATGAGAAAATAGAAAACAAAGATTGAAAAGAAGAGGATAAGAAGAACTCGAAGGTGAGAATTCAGAAGAGAGAGAGAGACTTACTACAGCCGCCCCACTCTTATAATTTATATTAATATTCAAATGAGAGTAAAAGGGCTGAATTACCCTTACTGCTTACATGGCAAAAAAAGAAAAGAAAACTAATAACAATAAGCTGAAATAAACTACCAACTAACTGAAATAACTAACAAACTAACTGCTAACTACAGTCATACGGACACAGTGGGGACTACATCAGTGTTCTCTACAATTGTTATGGATAAGGTTTGCTTGCCGCCCGACCAAACAGTCCTCGACCTCATTCAATCTACTACTGACCAGCGCTAAGCTTTGAATAGGGGTTGTTCCCAAATATTTTGTTTCACCATCGAACAACTTGTTGATATGATAGTCGCCTACCAATTCTTCAGTTTCTGCCTCTGTTCCCACACTACCTATTAAGAATGCTGCCTCAGATTCAGATTCTTCCTCATCTGACAAGTTGTAATCAACCCAGCTTCCGTCCACCAACTCTTTCCTTTGGCATGGTTCTGGTCTATCTTAGATTAGAGTGATCCTCCTTTGTTCTCCCACAGCCCTATTCTTTATCTCTTTGTAAGGGAACCCATTGCATGGAGGTTATCGATCCAGACTTGGCTTCAGAGTTATTGCTAGCCTGTGTTGAAGAAGATTGTAGACCTGAGTTAATGTCCTCCATCGAGTTATCATTCCTACCAGGGGCGGAGCCAGGGGTGGCAGAGGGGAGCAATGTCCTCCCTATGCTTAAAAATCCTCACAATCCCTACCGATGTTTTTCTTATAAAATTATTGCAAAGATACTTGTTTATAGGTTAGTGGTTGTTCTTCATAAGTTGATCTCGCCGCCTCAAGCAGCTTTCATTAAAGATAGAAATATTATAGATAACATTGATCTGGTCCATGAGCTTTTTCAGGAAATTGACCGACTGGTTAGAGGTGGCAATGTAGTCCTAAAGCTGGACATGTTAAAAGAATATGACTGCCTCGACTAGAAGTTTCTATTTATGGTCATTCAAAGGTTTGGTTTCTCAGATGATTGGATTTCTCTAATAGAAAAAAATCATTTGCAACTGTTGGTTCTCAGTTAAACTTGATGGCAGTGTACACGACTATTTCAAGTGTTCCAGAGGCCTAAGATAGGGGGATCCTCTCTCCCCTTATCTCTTCATCAATTTTTTGAAAAGAATGTGATATTTGAATTAGAAAGAATCATTGCTAGCAGGGAAGCTTCTTCAGTGATGGAGAAAATTCATAATGCAATAAGAAGATTTAGAAGACAGAAAAGCAATCAAACAATTCAAGTTTCAAAAGTATTTGCCAGATTAATGTTGGGAGTATTTGGGATGGGGCCAAAGAAGGGGAAGAAGATAAAGAAAGCCTCTCAGATAAGAAGCGAGAGTTCTGTCTTAGACACCGGATGCGCTTAGAAAATGGGTAAAGCTTGAGGTCAGCTTCTCGACGGAATTGGTTTTTTGGGTTTAGGGTGCTTCCATTGTATTAAGGTAGGGGATGGGAGGGTTGAGTGGGATTGCATATTAATGTCTGATTATTTATGTGTTTTGTGGATTTTTTTTTTTTTGTGAGAAGTGATTTGGGTTCATTGAAGTTGTAATTGGGGTGGGGGTTTTCAAGATGTCATTGATGTTCGTAGGGTTGATTATCTTAGGCCTAAGGGGTTAAGCTGAAAGTCTTGGTCTGTTTTTTTTTTTGATTTCTTTCGAAGGGCTACACGACAGGGGATAACCCATCCCCCAACCCAGGTGTAGGCAGGATTTGATCCCAAGTCTCCACTACGACCCGCAGGAGACCTTACCAACCAGCTGGTTGGCACCTTGCTCTTGGTCTGTCCTTTGTTGGATGATTTCTTATCACCCTGATGTATCCTCTTTAATCTGTTTCCTTAATAAATTTTATTTTTTATTTATCTTCAAAAAAAAAATTAAAGCACCCTTTCTCCCATGCATGCATATACAGTTTTTTTATCAATAACAGTAAATTTTATTAATAATTGAGAACTTAGGAAGTTACATAGAAAAGGAGCTAAAGAATCTTRACTCCCTACTATACCAATGTACACCCAAACCATGAAAAACTTACAACACAGCCCAAAAGAGAGAGTTTCTGTTCACCCCTTGTCTAGCTAGTCCATCTGCCAAGGAATTTGCATTTCTTTTTATCCATGTGCAACGAACTTCGATGTCCTTAGTCAGCCACTTAAACTTCCTCTTTTCATTGTTGTAAATCCAGAGCTTAGAGCTGTCCTATATACGAACTTCGATGGCCATGCATGCATATACATGGCCAGAGAGTTGGTTTGTTCTAGAAAGTAATTACTGTTCTAGTTATCATCCTATATTGTTATTTCTACCTGTAGAAGACACATTACTATCTTTATAGACTTTATTATCCAACATTTGATCTTCTTTTTGAATTTGTTTTTATATGGATGCCTTCTAATTGACCTTCGAATCAACATTTTCAGGGAAATTCCATATCAACCACAAAGTACAACATCTTTACCTTTTTACCAAAAGGTTTGTTTGAACAGGTAACATAGTGCTAATCTCTGGACACACATTAAGAATATAACATAATAAATTGATTTGAGTTTTTTATTGTAAATTCCTTCATGTTTTCTAAATTCATGTATCACTTATTTCCCTAAAAAGTTTCTATGTTACATTGACAGTTCAGACGGGTAGCTAATCTTTACTTCCTTATGATCTCTGTTCTATCTACGACACCAATCAGGTACTCCTAGGTCCAAATAATGGTTATATGCATTCTTCTTTAGAGTATAATTTGTTTTACATAGTATACATGTTTGGTTCTAGTGACTAGCTCCGTTGAGGACTATAATTATATTGGTTAAAATTGTAGCATGCACTGTTTAAGTCCATATCCTTTGTATATAGTATATACAACATTTCATGTCTTAAATCCAGTTGCTAGCTGCCAGCTCCACTGAACAAGGACTAAATTTATACTGATTATTTTTGTAGCCTGAATTTCCAAGATTTATATCTTCTGGTGTACATACATTTTCTATGCCTTAGATCTTGATGGTATTTGAACCACTTATGTACAATTCACTGTAATCCTGAGATTTTTTGGTTCATTTTGGATACATATTAAAGTGGATGACAGGGTTCTCTTAGTTTGTTGAGTTCTGGAATTTGGTTTCATGGAACTTGCCTTTGATATGCATGCACATAACATGTTTCTGCATTGAAATATTGCTCCTTTTTTGCAGTCCTGTCCATCCTATAACAAACGTTGTGCCACTGAGTTTGGTACTTTTTGTCTCTCTTGTTAAGGAGGCCTTTGAGGATTGGGTAAGTAATATATATTTTTTACATGCTAGAACACGACAATGATTTACTCTGAGGGCCATGTTGTATCGAGTGAAAGTTACTGTACTTTTTGTGCTGGTAGAGAAGTGCTTGGGTGTCATTCTTGCTAAACTCACATCCATCAGACATTTTTGTGCAGTACAATGTTGACTAGTCGTTTGACCATAATTTTTGCTTTTCTTTGTCTAATTCTATAAACAGAAACGCTTGCATAATGATAGGGTGATAAATCATTCACCTATAGATGTATTGCAAGACCAGAGGTGGGAAACTATCCCTTGGAAGAAGCTTCAAGTTGGGGATATTGTCAGGGTATGCTTTTCTTTTTCTTTTATGGACTTTTTTTCTTTCTACTTTTCTGTTTCATTTTTTAGAACAATAATGGAAACTATTCATTAAAGAACAAGACCATGAACAATATTGACACATCTAAGACAGAAACAATCTGTTCAACCTACCTTAAATTCAAGAGAAGCCCTCTTAATTCTTTGTCTTATCTGAAGGATCTGCTAGAGTGTTAGCCAATCTAGGGTACCTCCTGTACATTATGTTCACTCTAGAACCAAAAGATCTGGGTTTTCTAATGAAATGGAAAAGAAACAAGCATTCAGCCAACAATGGTCTGGGAGTCATCTTAACTTGATGACCCAAAGCAGCCATCAGCTTCAAACCATGAACAAGATAACATATATAGCATGAACCAAGTTTCTGTATCATATTAAATTTGAATATAAAGGAGAGCATTGTCATTGTTGTTTCTGAAGTTCTTCTCTCTCAAACAAGCAGGATGGCTGAATGAGTTATACCCATCAAAATTAAGTTTTACAAAGCCCAAAAGTGGAGGAGTACTTTATTTAGGGGCCATTTCTTGGTGCAATGGTAAAATTTCAGATTAACAAGTTTGAGAACTCTGGTTCGAGTCTAAGAGAGGGCACTTTGTGTTGGAAGGGTTAGGATCCATCATATGGATGGCCAAACCATGCTAGATGGATGGGCGAAATTTCAAAAATTTCCTAATCCTTCTGGTAATTGAATTCCCTATGTTTTGAAAAACTCATTTTTCAGGATTGGTCTTGTACTGAACCGGACCAGATTTGAAACCAATCAAAGAGGGAGATGTATACCTGATACAGATACTACAAATGCAGATCCCAAGGTGGAAGTTCATGCCCAAATCATTCCTAAAACCAGCCTCCATTGAAGATGGCACAGTGTGTAGGTGAAGCTGATTCAACAACACGGTTTTCAGCAAAACTGCAACCTAACTGCTTGGATCGAACTGGGGAAGGTGAGCCTGAAGTTCCTCTAAATTATTCTTGCAAAAATTAGAAGAAAACTGATCTCTATCAGTCCTTGAAAACCTAGACCATGAACTCGTTACAAGGTTTCTTGGAAGACAAAAGAGAACAAGAGAGAACAAGAAAGAGTGGTGTTCTAGTCCAGTTCGCGCTCTTCTTCTTTTATCTCTTTATGGAGCACTTCTCCTAATCAAATTAGGAGATTATCCAAATCTAATTTGGATATGGTCTCTATTAAGAGATAAGCCTTATCCTCTTAAGCAATGTTTTAAAACATGAAGGCGTGATGCGAGGCGTTCCACTACCTAGAGGCGTGAGGCATAGTTCAAAATGCAAGAGGTGTAAGCCTCCCGAACACAAGGAGGCGTTAAGCCTCCTTAAGAGGAGAGGGGTTAGGAGGAGGATGAAGAGGAAGGGGGGATCTCATTTTTCTTTATTTTTAATAAAAATCTTTTATATTAAGAAGAATAAAGATGCATAACATTAGTTGAAAGGGGGGGTCTTGTCGAAGGGGTAGGGGGCAAACCACTTTCTTTCCCCTTATCTTTTCTTCCCTCCCTTTCCTTTCCTTTTCTTTCCTTTTCTCTTTTTTTCTTCTCTTTCTTTTTCTTCTCCTTTCCTTTCCTTTCCTTTTTTTTCTTTATTCTTTTTTTTCTGTCTTTTTATATCAGGTGTGCATGAGGCGTACGCCTCTAGCACGCCTCATGAAAAAAGCTCAAGAGGTGTACGCCTCTTGCACTTGAGGCGTACACCTCAGAGGTGTCAGCGCCTCTGGCATATGCCTCAGGGTGTTTTGGGAGCGCCTCACCTAGAGGCACACCTCCAGGCATACGCCTCCCACGCCTTTTAAAACATTGCTCCTAAGATGATGGGTGCTCCATACCCATTTCCAAACCCAGATTCAATGCAAAGCACATAAGTTGTCATGTGACAGCTTATTTAATCTTATTAATTATGGGTCTTAGGCCCATCAGCTACAAGGCTCACGACCCAAGGTGTTGCGTGGACAACTTAGGCTTGAATTGTATGGTGTGGGACCCCACAATGACCTCACATAAGTCCACATGGGTTTGGCCCAGCCTCTGTGAAAAGGCTTGGCCGGATTCACTATTAAACACAGTAAACCCCTAAGCACATCACTATGGGCTCAATATGAGCCCAACATTTACATTTAAATGATCATTGAATTCAGCCATCCTATGAAGACCCAAGGATAATGGATTTAAGTAAGATAAAGCCCATTAGGTAATCAGCCCTTAATGGTCTCTTACACTTAACCTCTCGGCCCATAATGATCAAACATTGCCTGACAGGGAAGGACCTCTCCCCTGGCTGCAAGGTACAGTGTCATACTCTTTGCTCGGATGGATCCCGGGAATTAAAACCTTTTGCAAACATTTTTTTTATAAAACATAATATATATCATATAAGTATATTTTGCAAAACCAAATCTCAAACACAGTTGAAATCCAGTGCCGATAGTTTGGTTTCCATCAGAGAGAGTGTAAGCCCTATCATTCATTTTGTCCGACAAAGGGGCCAATCCTATCACTATGATCACCCACTTAAATGAATTCTCAAACTGCCCCAACATATCCAGGTTTTGACCCTCAATGGATCTCACTGATTGGCATATCAAAGACAACCCAATCCAACACCTAGTGCAGTACCATAATCAAGTCTGGGGGTTATGTGTAATTTTTCGGTTTTGCCCATCAATCTCCAAGGTCCTGGGCATAGCTGGAAAATGGTTCAAGTTCAGTGTTTCAACCAAACGCACACTGCATGTGCTTTGGGTCTAACCCTAGCAACTGAGACAAGCTGCCCCAACTTCTTTGGCAACACATCAGAGTCAGCCTTGGCAGAATAAACTCCCCAAGTCTATCCAATGGATGAGAACATTCTAAGCTAACATGAGTCTCATAAGTGTCTAGTTTAAGGGTTAATTTTACAAAATCATATCAATATCAACATGAAACAATAATGTACTTTTATTCATTTACAATAAATGTATCTGTACATCAATCAAATTGGAACAAAGGGCATATAGTGTCTAACACTGTGCAAAAAATGACAAAGCTATGTCTGTTTCTAGTCTATTCCCTAGATGTTGGATAGCCAGGGTCCTTATTTGGTAGTGACCCTTCCTAAAAAACTATATCATGTTTGAATAAGCCTTTTCTTGGGTCTATGATATTGATCATTGGTTATCCCTTTGTGGTTATTCTTAATGTAGGTTAATCCTTTGTAGTCATATTTGTCATTTAGGCAGTAGGTTTAAAGTTTTTAGTTTGCTTATATAACTAAAGTATTGAGATGGCCTAAGATTGAAATAAACTAATCTAGAGGTGGAAGGAGACTCAAAAATAATCATGGGATGGAAAAGGGGAAGAGGCATGGATGCTTGGAATATATGCTACCCTATAGATGCTTTCACTTTTTTCTTTTGATAGTCTTAATATATCCGGAACTGTCTTTGTATTTGGGGCTGGATACAAAAACCCTATTTCACCATCCATGTCCAGAACCATATATTCTATTAATGCATAAACCATATGTTCTACTTGGCAGTCTTGGCCAATCTCCATCATCGACCTTCGTTGTATATAGTTAATCCATTTTGATCTGCTCTCCTTTAGATGTGAATCAGTCCAATAAAATAACAGTATGTTCTGAAATTAGGAAGAAAAATAGTGAAGAAATAAAAGAAATCAGAAGAGGACGAAGAAAATGAGAGAAGAAGGGAGAAGGTGAAAAGAGTTCAGCCACTCCTATCTCCTTTCTCCTAATTAATTTTAATTATTTAATCTCAATGGAATAATTACAATGATGCCCTTAATGTGGCGGCCAGCTCATAAGCATAAGTTAAAAGAAACAAAAGATAGTTAACAGGCCCATATGGACAAGGCCCATTAACATAAACATAACAAATAAAAGAAGACAAAAGGTAATGAGACACTAGGGCCCATTCGGCCTAGTCTCTCTACACTCCCCCTCAAGCTAAGCATAGATGTCAGTCATGCCTAGCTTGCTTATATAATCATTATAATGTACTAGGTTAGTAGCTTTCCTTTTGGAACTCCCTTCAGCTGACTATTCTTCAGAAGCAATAAAAAGCAAACTTCCACCGAAGAAGGTTTCTCTCGTACAAAATTTCTATCAACCTTAATGTGCTTTGTTCTATCATGCTGGACATGATTATGTGTGTAGAGAAACTGATGTGGGCCCCACAGCTGTGGGGCCACTCTGTCCGTAGGGTAGAATGTACCTAGTCTATCTGTTATATTATTCTATTATTCTAGTTCTGTTATTTACGTTTCAGTTTTTATATTGTTGTGTTATGATGTAAACACCAAGGGCAGATATGTCCTTTCATGTAACTAGCATAACATATAAATATTAAATTGAAGTGGCGGTGGCAGATCATTGAGAATCTGTCCTTCCTTTCAAACCTGTGTTCTACTGCTCTCTCACTACTCTTTCTCCTCTTTCTTCTTCACTTTCTCTTTTGTTCGAACCTAAATTTTCTTAGTGCCCAAGACTGATAGCAGTCTTGAACATCTTCATGGTATCAGAACCAGGTTAGGGTTTCTCATGTGAGTCTAATACCAGCCGACCACATGAGAATCTCCTAGGACTGGAAGCTAAAAAGGTGGAGTTCGCAGACAAATTCTTGGAGATCGCCAGAAGTGCTAACAGTTGTTAGAAGCTTGTTATGGTTGCAGAGTGTTGGTGGTCAGGAAGGATCAGAGAAGACTAGGGTTTGGGTGACCTTGGAAGGCAGCGAACAACATCCTATTGTAAGTTTTTTTATTTTCTGAGAGAAGTACTATCAGAGAAGATAGGTTGGACCTATCTAGCAAGGGTGGCCGAACCACTCTAGGGTTTTATCTTTCTATTCTCTAGGGTTTTGTCTTAACCCTGCGGCAAACCCTAGTATAGGACTAAACCTTGTGATCTAATATTGCGGCAAACCCTAATAGTTCTCTCCTCAACATTGATCAGTTTTAGGGT